CAATTAACTATAGGGAAGCTTTGAAAACTAAACAGTGGAAGTTATCTATGGTCGAAGAGTTACAGGTAATCGAAAGAAACAACACATGGAAGTTAGTCAAATTTCCAGCACAGACAAAAGTTACCAAAGTAAAGTGGGTGTTCAAGTTGAAACACAATGTTGATGGATCGATAGCAAGACATAAAGCAAGATTAGTAGCTCAAGGTTTTCTTCAAAGAGCAGGACTCAACTACTCTGAAGTATTTGATCTAGTAGCAAGATTAGAGATTGCTCGACTAATGGTAGCATTGGCATGCAACCAAGGCTGGTCGACATTTCATTTAGATGTGAAATCAGCATTTCTGAATGATCCTTTAGACGAAGAAGTCTATGTCACACAACCTCTAGGGTTTGTGATTCAGAAGGAAGCGAGTAAAGTATATAAGTTGCACAAAGCGCTCTATGGTCTCAAGCAGGTACATAAGGCATGGAATAAGAAGATCGACTCAAACTTAGTCGAATTAGGATTTATCAAATACAAGTCAGAATATGGTGTCTATGTTTAGGTTGTAGCACAAAATATAACAATTATCTGCTTATATATCGATGACTTGCTGGTAACTGGAAATAGCTTAGAGAACTTGCCAAAGTTCAAAGAGATGATGATGAAGGAATTTGAAATGTCGAATATGGGAAAATTGTCTTATTTCCTAGGCATGGAATTTCAAATGTCGAAGCAAGGTATGGTGCTACATCCAAGGAAGTATGTCAAAGAAATACTCAAGAGATTCAAAATGGATGATTCGAATCATGCATCCTCATATGTTGGACCAAATGTAAAATTAGAGACGAATGAGAGGAAGAAAAAGTCGATGTAACTTTGTTCAAGCAAATTGTGGGATCTCTGAGGTATGTGTGCAACAATCGACCTAATATTGTTTTCGCAGTCGAATTAGTGAGAAGATACATGAGTGAACCAAGGGTGTCACACATGAAGGCTGTAAGAAAAACCCTAAGATACTTAAAAGGATCAATAAACTGTGGAATACTATTTCGATGAGACTCTGAAAGCAAAGAAGCAACAATTAATTATTTTTCATATGCTGATTGGTATGGAGATAAGGAAGATCGAAGAAGCACAACTGGATATTTCTTTCAAGTATTTGGTGTCCTAATCTCATGGTGTTCGAAAAAGCAACCTGTGGTGGCATTATCATCGTGTGAAGCTGAATATATAGTAGGATCCTATGCTGCATGTCAAGTAATTTGGATAAAACCTGTACTTGAAGAAATGAAGGTCAAAGTGAAGAAACTTCTTGTATTGCAAATCGATAATAAGTCATCCATAAATCTGGCGAAGAATCAAGTTCTGCATGGAAGAAGTAAACATATCGAATTAAGGTTTCACTTCTTGAGGGAAAAGGTAAATCAAGGTGAACTTGGAGTAAGGCATTGCTCGAGTAAAGCACAGTTGACCGACATTTTCACCAAAAGATTGAAGATTGACAGATTTCTGAATTTGAGAAAGAAATTAGGAATAATTCAAATTGACTATTTTTAGAGTATGTTTGACAACTTGGATTATGGGGGTGTGTTGAAATATTAAATTAGATTAGATTTGATATTTAAATATAATCCAAGTTGTGTAGACCCAAGCCCAATTAGGGTTGTATATAAATAATCCTAGTCTGTATCATTATTAATGCAATTTCAATAATACAAATCCTTATTTCCTTATTCTCTTTCTATTCTCTTCTCACTAAAAGTGCATCACGCACTAACACCTGCAAGGTTAGAACTCTAACGCTCAAGTAAGTATGTGAATCTTGAGAGAGTATTCAAATTATGTTTAAAACTTGTTACCTAAAATGGCGTCATCCGCATATATAAGAGGGAGCAGAATAACTACCTCGTTAACTTTTCGGCGTAGAATACAGAGAACCGTTGGATGTGTTGGAGAGATGGATCTCCTGCTTCTAGATTAGTGAAGGTTTAGTGGTAATGAGAATATTCCATAAGCTTTAGTAAACACTTGAGATGGATCCAAAATGTTACACCTTATGGTGACCGACTCAAAAAAGGAACATGTTTGGCTCGGAGCAGTCCGAAAAATTATTTTATTATGGCGGTCGGATCTCTATAAGTCTAATCAGATCGCTAGGGATATGACCAACCCAAAACATATACTAATTGTCCCTTATGATAAATTCATAACCTTGTTTGAGTTTGAGGTGGTCTGAAATAATCAGAATAAACAATTAAAATGCATAATTAGATTAATTAATTAACATCACAAGACCACATTCAGAATAAAAGAATTTGAATGTATTTGGGAACTCATTAAAATAAACAATTACCAAAATTTTAACATTTCAAGACCACATGTTTAAAAAGGCTAACATTATCCAAATACCAAAACTCTACACTTAAATATGAAGAAAGTGACATTGAATGAATGACCCAAAACCCAAAAATAAAGAATATCACTTACCTCAGACAAAACTTCACTTCTTTCTTGCCTTTTGATGACGCCTGAGAAATATCCGTCATGCTTTCCTTTCGTAGTACATTCAATGGTTGAAACAAAAATATTTCAAATAGAATTTTCGTAAAATATTTGAGACATAAATATTTTCTTCAAATGATATATTATACATTAGATGACAATTCGTTGGTTGAAACGAAACTTCAAAGAAATTTAAGTGGCGAGTACGAAAAAGATTTTGGTTACTGAAAACTAGGGTTCAACAAGAAATAAAAGAGAAAGAAAACAAAATAAAAAAGAAAAAAAAAATGGAAAGAAAACGAAGGACTCAACAATGAATTCTTAATCTATTTCAATTTAAATCACATTCTAGATTACAAGTTTTAAAATTTTAATTTTAATTACTATTTCAAATGAATTTTTAAAATTAAATAATTACATGTCAAAACAACTAATGACGTGACACCATATACTCTGTATCACATCACTCTTTTAAATTGCCACATACACAAAATTACAAAAGACTAAAAAACTTAGAAGAAATCTAATAGAAGAATTTAAAAAAGTTAAATATTTTTGAGAAGATTAAAAATTTAAAAATATATAAATAGGGAATCAAAACTACAATTAATTTAAAAAATATTTTTAAAAAATATTTTTAAAAAACTAAAATAAATCAATCAACTAAGTCTATAACTAATCTTCTCCATACCAAAAAAAAAAAAAACTCATTTGTCCATGTTTAATTAATGAAATATCTCCTCCTACTTATTATACATTTTTTCCATTAAAAATTCTGTAACGAAATACTCCTATATAAATTTAAAATTGCATGTATAATTATTAATTAATTCAAACAACTTTAACACGTCACAAATTCTCTAATTTCATATATATATATATATATATATATATTAACATGGCATAGTTTAATATTAAAATTTATGGGATGATAAAATAAATATATAATTTATATTGACGGTGCATTATTTTTTTAAAATGAAATTAATTGAAATTAAAATTTTTAATGATACATAAAAAAAGTAGTATTTCCTTTCCATACAAAGGCATCAAAATAAAATTTTATATCTATTTATTTGTAGCTTATATAGAAATGAAATGAAATAAATAAACATATAAAATACACATACGTGTCATGATACGATTGGATGCATTTTCTTATTTTTTTTTTATTTCTATTTTCTTGACATAACCAAACCAGACATACTCTTCTGAACAAACTCAACTCAATTCAACTCAAACCTCAGTCTCACAAATCACAAACAACAACCTTAGATTCTCCGAATCACTATTTCTTTCTTTCTTTTTACTCTATAAAACAACAACATCGCACTCTTGTTTTTTTCTTCCTATACTTGTTCTTCCAGATTTCATTTAGGTATCTTTCTCTCTTCTCTCTTAGATCCTTTCAATTTCATTTCTTTTTTTTGTTGATCTTGTTTATGGACAAAATTAACATAACCTTGAAATTTGAATTTGACTCATTGCTTTTGAGATCTCAATTTCATTCTTTAGATTAGATCGTTTATTTTTACTTAATTTTCTGTTCATAAACTTGACTTTTTAGTTCTATTTTGTATGACATTGTTGCTTGTATTTGTTTGTTTTCATGCTTGATTGATGGGTTGAATATTCATGGAAGCTTCCTTTTTCAATTATTTACTTGATTTATCAATATAATGACAACTTGTAATTATAATTTTTAATATGAAAAATTGGATTTTTATTGATTTTATAGATTGTCACACGTTTGAAAATATCTTGTTGATGTTGACATTGTGTTAATCTAGAAAATGCTCAAGATTTTGAAACTAGTCATTGAGTTTTGTCCCTTTGTGAGCCAAAGAATGTTCAGTTACATGAAACTTTCTGAGTATAAACTTTAGGATTAGTTTTCCTTTATGATAGAATCTGTGTTCATAATGATTTGTAGACATGCCCTTTTTTATATAGGTATGTAATTATTTAAGAATAAGAAGTGATGAACATGTATGTTCTATTGGTTTTTGCTTTTTCTAGTGATTCTTTGTCTTCTGGTAATGGTGTTGGCGAGTTGATATGCTATTTATCTACATTTGTATGTGAGTGGTTGTGTGTTGAAGCTGCTATGAAGTTGGCTATCATATACTTTGATTCTTGTTCACCTCGGGCGTGTTAATTTTTAACACGACTCACTATGTTCTCAAGGCTTTCTTTGGCGGTAATCTATGTTAGATTTATGTCAATTAAGAATATAAGGCGCTAAAATTTGTTATAATGCTTGAAATTTTTCTATCATTATTTCAGTTTTGTTTTATTCATTAGTCGTATACTTTTTCTGTTAATGGTTCGGTCACGTGACATGGAAATTTATTGCAAACAACTGAGTTTGGTTGATTAGATCACTAATTCTATGCGTTTTGTGGATTTTAATTTTGAAAATTTCAGTATTGTTTCGACAGTTTAACCTGTCCAGCACCGGCTTCTGGTAGTACGATTGCGCTAGTTCTCGGAAGAGTTCTTCCATAAAAGGTAGATGGGTTCTAGAATCCCATCTCATCAGCTTAGTAATGGCCTATATGTATCAGGCCGGCCAGAGCAGCCGAAAGAAAGGGTTCCAACGATGTCTTCCGCAGCCATGCCATATACTGGCGGAGACATTAAAAAGTCGGGAGAATTGGGAAAAATGTTTGATATTCCTGTTGATGGCTCAAAGTCCAGAAAGTCTGGACCGTTAACAGGTGCACCGTCACGAGCAACATCTTTCGGAGGAGCCGGTTCACATTCCGGACCAATTCATCCTAATGCTGCTGCTCGAGCTATCTATACTACTTCAGGTTCCATGTCTATTGGTGGTGCAGCTGGTTCAACTTCACAAAAGAAATCGAATTCCGGGCCGCTGAGTAAGCACGGGGAACCGGTTAAAAGGTCTTCTGGTCCTCAGTCTGGCGGAGTAACTCCAACCGGACGTCAAAATTCTGGACCTCTTCCTCCTGTTCTTCCGACAACAGGTCTGATTACATCAGGCCCCATATCATCTGGCCCACTAAACTCTTCTGGTGCTCCTAGGAAAGTGTCCGGTCCTTTGGAAGCGACAGGTTCGATGAAGCTGCAAGGCTCTGCTGCTGCTGTTCACAATCAAGCTGTGACTGTTCTTAGTCAAGGTGATGAATACTCCTTCAGAAGGAATTTTCCAAAGGCCATGTTATGGTTATTAATTCTGCTTTTTGTCATGGGTTTCATTGCTGGCGGTTTTATTCTTGGAGCCGTGCACAATCCCATTCTCCTTATTGTGGTTGTGATTCTCTTTGGTTTAGTTGCCGCGTCTTTCACTTGGAATACCTATTGGGGAAGAAGAGCTATAATGGGCTTCGTTGCTAACTATCCGGACTCCGAGCTTAGAACTGCAAAGAATGGGCAGTTTGTGAAGGTTTCCGGGGTAAGCTTTGCTTCTCTTGCTTAATCCACTGGCTATTACTGAAATGTGCATCTTCTCGTAATGGATTTATATTCTGTTATGGTGCTAATTTCAAATGTTTTATTTACACGTGACTTTGCATCATCAGCTTTAGAGGTATTTTGTTTGTCTGTCGTAATGTAGGTTGTTACTTGCGGTAATGTACCTCTCGAGTCATCATTCCAAAAAGTCCCCAGATGTGTATATACATCAACAAGTTTATACGAGTATCGAGGATGGGACTCAAAAGCTGCCCATCCTACACATCGACGATTTTCTTGGGGCCTTAGATTTCTGGAAGTGAGTTACTTAGTTTTCCTTTTGTGTTGTGATAATTTCTTATTGTCTTGAGAATATTACTTCTGTTTGACTCGATTGACCGGAACGTGTGTCATGTGACAGAGGCGGGTGGTTGACTTTTACATCTCGGATTTCCAGTCTGGTTTAAGGGCGCTGGTTAAGACGGGCCACGGAGCAAGAGTGACCCCTTATGTTGATGACTCAAATCTGTTCCATGTAAACCCAAGCAAAGAAGAGTTATCTCCAGAATTCGTCCGGTGGTTGGGAGAGAGAAATTTGTCAAGTGACGACCGCATCATGCGGCTAGAAGAAGGGTACTTTTCTTTAATCTATTTAAAAAAGTAGTAACTAACCGCATCTGGTAACATGATTTAAGAGTAAGATGATTTGTAATACAGGCATATAAAAGAAGGAAGCACGGTGAGTGTAATGGGAGTTGTTCAAAGGAATGAGAATGTGCTAATGATAGTTCCACCACCAGAGGCAATAACAACAGGCTGCCATTGGTTGAAATGTATATTTCCTGCTAGCTTGGAAGGTATAGTGTTGAGATGTGAGGACATGTCAAAGACTGATGTGATACCAGTTTAAGGTTATGTGGAGCAAGAATGTTTGTAGCATCATCTAATTGGTGATTCCTAGATAGTATTCTTTTCCCCTCTATTATTAGTGGTGGTGGGAGTTAATATTGACACATTATTATAGATGTGAGTGTGTTTCTGTTTATTTTTTCATTCTATTTAAATACTTGTGTATAGTTATGGTTGACTTTCGTAATGTTTTCATGCAGTGAAAATTCTTAAATGTTGTTTTGCCTAAATACTTTTTTATTCTCATGTAAAAAAAAAGGTGGGTTTCGTCTACAATAATAGCCCCTATCCCAAAATCGGGGGATGTTCTTATTATTTCTCTTGCACTCTTGTAAAAAATCGAAAATACCTCTTTCACATTCTCAACAATTTGAAATCTCGACGTTGCAACAAACCAAGTTCATTATAAAAGCAACTATTCCCAAAAAAAAAGTTTGAATTCCCATCTACTAATACACTCTACCCCAATTGTATTTAGGATACGCCCTTTTATATAACTTGACCCGTTTTTTCCTATCCATTCTCTTATATTTTTAATCATGTCAAAAAGCACACATAAAATCTCTAAAACAATGTTTCAAAACTCAAACCGGTGATCGATTCGATAAAGTTATTGGGTCACTGGATTACTGGTCAGACCAGTGGATCACTGGTCAGACTGCATGACTTTTGACCCGATTTCTATAAAAAATATATTCATTACCTGAAATTTGTAACTATAATAATATAGAAAATTATAAATTCAAATAATTTAGAATAAACAAAAGTATTAGTAATAATCAAAATAAGTGATATAAACTTAATGTATCAAATTATAAATTCAAAGAAGTGATAGAAATTTAACAATTCATAAGTTATAGTATTATAATAAGTCACAAAAATTCATACTCAACGATCAATAATTTTTTATGTCCATGAAGTCAAATTGTCGTAATCTTGATATTCATATCCATTTTCAACTTCATTGTCTTCTCCACCAACTTCATCTTCTCTGGTGTTGCTTTTTTCTTGATTCACAGTATCAACAATAGTATCTTGTGCATTACCCATATCTCCATCTTCATCCTCATTTAAATCTATTTGATCTATAATAATATTTTAAAAAATAATTAACAAAAAAAATTTAGAGATGATAAATATGAGACATTAAATTGATTCACAACCACAAACTATATTATGCTTATATTATAACATACCAATATCACTTGAAATTGGTTGGATGGTCATATTTGCAAGGTCATTCTGCAATGCTTCCAACTCTTCATTGGTTAAGAGAGGTGGTGAATTCTCTAATATCCAACTAGAATGGTCGACAATTATTTCAATATTGATAGGATCATAACTCTCATTTCTTATTTTCCTAAGCACACATGAATTAAATCTAAGTATATGTATTTAAATATAAAAATATAATAATCAGAGAAAAATAACCATAATAATACCTATTTTGAAGTCTCAAGTTGTAACGAACAAACACTAAATCATTAAGCTTTTGGTGCTCCACTTTATTTCTTTTTTTGGAATGAATATGTTTAAATATACTCCAATTGCGTTCACAACCCGAAGCACTACAAGTTTGACTTAAAATACGGATAGCTAACCTTTGCAAAGTTGGTGTATAAGTGCCATAAGTTTCCTACCATTGATCTGTTTATACCATGTGATTAAATAAATTTATAAACATATTGAAATATAAAATAAAATATATATCAAGAGTTAGAAGTTATGAAATTACCTTCCCTCACAATACATCATTCATCCACGACTGATTTCCTTCCAAAATCTAATTCACCGTCTTTGAATATTCTCATCTCATCTGTTAACTTCAATCGAAGTTCAGAATTTCCATTAGCATACTTTTCAATGACATCTAAAAGTCCTGATGTTGTGGATGCATGTTTTTCAAATTCTACATCATTATATCTATAAGTTGGATTCAATCAATAACCGACAGCATGAAGATTTTTGCGGAGCTGTGAATCCCAACGTTTATCTAAGATTTTCAAGTAAGGATCCACTTTCTTCTTTTTTCTTTGAAACCTCCTCACCATCTCCTCTCTAGCTTTGACTATAGCTTTGTATAGAATGCCCATAGCAGGTTTATCTTCACTATCAACAATACGCAACACAAGCACAAGTGGTTCAGTGAGTTTAACTACATCAGCATATTTACTCCAAAATCCAGAATTTAAAACTTGATCCACAAACTGTTTTGCCTTTGCTTCTTTGGCATATGTTGAGCTTGTCCATTCTTTAGATGTTACCAGGGCTCTTAGTGAGTTTTTGTGAGACAAAATACTTTGCAAAGCAATGAAATTAGTGGCAAACCGAGTTGGAGCAGGACGAAGGATTTCTCTTCCACCTGTTTACTTTCTCATTAAATACAATGCATAACAATGGTTATACATATATTTGGTAACATTAGAAGCATGTGACACTGTCTCACTTACTTCTTCTAATTTTCCCATGTCTTGCAACATCAAGTTAATGCAATGTGCCGCACAAGGAGACCAAAATAAAGTAGGAAACTCATTTTCTAATAACCTTCCAGCAGCAACATAATTTGCAGCATTATCTGTCACTATGTGAACTACATTTTCAGGCCCAACAAATAAAACCACATCTCTAAAAAGCTTATACAACATATCTGCAGTTTTTGAAGCATGAGAAGCATCAACGGATTTTAGAAAAATAGTACCTTTGGGACAATAAACTAGAAAGTTTATAAGAGTTCTTCTTTTTCGATCAGTCCATCCATCGGCCATTAGAGTACAACCAGTTTTCTTCCAAATCTCACGATACTCCTCTATCAATTTGTTCATATCTTCAACCCATTTATTTAACAAATAGCCACGAAGAATATGCATAGTTGGAACTTTATACTCCGGACTCATGCTGCAAATTGCATCAACCATAGATTGAAAATACGCAGAATTAGTTGCATTGAATGGCACAGAAGAATCAATGAACCATCTTGCAATAGCTAGATCACACTTCTCCACCAATTTCTTACTTTGTAACACACTTTTTAAAGAAGGTTGAGCTTCAGGAGTTATTCTAGGCATAAAATAATTACCAATACGACTAGTATTCTTTCTCTTTTGAGACACAATCACTGAATTTGATCTTGATTGTTCTACATCCATTTCTACTACACCACCCTCTTGAGTAGTAAAATCAACATCAAAATTTTGTGCTTGAGTCTTTCTTCTCTTATTTGCACCTTCATCAAGATTTTGTTTCATTTGATATTGAACATCCGGAGGCACCTTTTTACATGTTTCAACTTGACCTTTTATTCCATCCAAATGGAATTTAAACCTATTAATCCCCCTCCTCTAATAATTTTATCACATTAAATACACAAATTAACAAGTTTTCATTTCTCTTCAATTTGTTTACAATGACCCCAAGCTATATCAGTTTTTCCCCTACTGCTCTGGAGTTGGGTTGAATTTTGAGATGTAACTTCTTCCGAAGTTATTACTTCAGCGGATGATGCCATATTTAATATCAATCAAAATTTAAAAATACAAAACTATATTACAAAGATATTAACAAAACACAATTCTAAACAAAAATTATTGAATTTATAAAAACATTATAAGAAACATTAAATATGTAACATATCTAAATCCAAAATATATAAATATGTTGTTGTATATTACATATAGGTTACCAAACATTGTTATTGTGCATCACCATATATAATAAAAAAAATAGAAACTTTGTTTTCCAGCCTTTGCTATATATTTTAGATTAATAAAATCCTGAAACTTTTATTTGTTATATAATTTAAATTAATAAAAAACAGAAAACTTTGTCTTACTATATAATTTAGATTACATAGTTTTAAACCCAATTTCTATCTCTATAATATATACAACGACTATTACAGTAATATATATCTATCCCAATTTCTATCTCCAATATACAACAACTTCATTACCAGTCTATAATAAGTTAATTCATAAAAGTATAAAACTGCTTCATTCATACAAATTCTATCTCAATTTGTTAAACTAAAAGACCCAATTTTATAGAAAATGATCAAATTTAATCATTTATTTTCTATATCAATTAATCAACAAAATGAAACACTAATATTCATATTGAAAAATATCAATGCAAATTAGACCAAGTAAAAAAGAAATAACCTGTTTTTGATGTATTGATGAAATTTTTGACGGCAAACAAGGAATATCAAATAACAACAGCAGGTGGGAGTTTTTGTTGGTAGAGAAAATTGAGAATATGACTTCAATTAAAAAAATAAAAGACATAATAAAAAAGAAAACCTTTCAAATGCCTAGGTTTGGGAAACGAGGAGGCAAATCGTTTATGTTATTTTTTTTTTCAAAGGCCCTAAAAAATAAAATAAATAGTCAAACCCGCCGGTTCACTGGTTTAACCGATGATCTGGTCGGTTCACACCAGTTTCATCCGATTTAAATGTAATTCCAATCTTATCTCTTAATCGGACCGCCTAGCCCACCGATTCTCGGTCAGATCGGTCTGACCGGCCGGGTCGGGCTGGATTTTAAAACACTGCTCTAAAAAGTATTTCAATAAATTTCTCATTTTCGCATTGCTTTTTCTAATTTTGATGCATGCGATTTTGTCATAGATTTTAGTTAAGCTACATTATATTTCATCTAATGGAAATGTTATATCATATTTCTCCTACTTAGTTTTGGTTTGAGTTTGGGATATTTGAGAGGTTAGGGTTTATGCTAGTATAGATTCTCATACGTCAAATTCTGATTTCAAAATACAGATTGTTAATGCATAAACCAAAATTTAGAATATTTCTTTAATCCAGTTCTTTTTTGAGTTATTTCATTATGTAGTCATTTGTTAATTTTTAAAATGTACCTTAATTGTGTTTATGTATGGATTGTCTTGTGTGATTATAGAAAAATGGTTGACGAACAACCAAGGTACAGGCATGGTCAGTTGTCTCAACATGCTTCAGTACATATGGAGAAAGTTAAATCCTCACGTGTAGTTGGAGAGCCATATCGTGTTGTTGAGGGATCGTCTTCCCTAGGTCAAGGATCTCCGACTCATAAATATTTCGTTCGGGAACCACAATTGTTGATACAGGTTCTTGGTGCGGTGATGCAAGCTACTCTAGCCCGATTTCGTTGATTCACTTTACCTAACTCCATTATATAAAGGTTTCATTGATCTTTAAAACAATTTTTGTTCCCTCTCATAATTGAAACCTTACATTTCTTGCAAAGCATTTCTCCTTCTCTCATTTGGATCCATTGTTCTTGGTTCATCTCGATTATCAAGTTACCCATCCTCTTGGTAGTTCCTTTGCTTAACTTCTTACTCGAATACTATTTCTAATACTTTTATTTACATTTTTTGTTTAGCTTCTTGTATTTACGATGGAAAACATAGAAAATATTCTTGAAAACATAATGAATGACCTTGACAGTGGAAGTTCTTCATTATCAATAATATATGAGAATTCAGATGTTCCAAATGCTGATCCCGTAAAAGTTAATGACTCAAATCTTAGCTTTATCATGCTTAGTGATAACTATGGATCTGAAAGGGGTTTGTATAAAGTGGTGATAGACCTCTTATTGTTTCTACTAAGGGAAGTGTTGACGATTCTTTTGAAGAAGATTAACAACCTGAATTCATGGGAAGTGGTTGCACATCTTGCGTCCTCCATCAGATCTTCTACGGATCTATATGTAGTTATAGCGGCTCGATATGAGCAACGAGCTCACTATTTCCACTACTTTTAGAGCAACATATGTTCGGGACCCTAGTGACATAAAAATTAGGGATAATATTATTTTTAGGAGTAGTAGTGCAGTTTGTGATTGACATTACCTTTTTCAGGACAATCGGGAAGAAATGGTTAAACATGAACGCACAGGCTTATTGGAGCTAGTGGATGCTCGTATGTCTCGATGGGTGAACCCGAACTAGTGGGGATGATTTTTTTACTTTGACAATGCTGAGAAACTGGAGGAGACTGGTATGAAAGGGGGTTATTCCTCTTACTGGCCGATTTCACACGTTGATACTGGCAAAAGGATATGCAACCCTTTTTATGAATGATTTGTCCCCTTCTAAGAATGTGTTTTTACTAGTTTAGGTTACCATTCAACGAGTTTGAGAAGGAGTTGCTGAGACATATGAATATTTCCCCTTCTCAACTGCACTAGTCAGCCTAGGCATTTGCGAAAGTCTTCCAATATTGGTGTGAGTATTAGGGTAAAGAATCGTCCCTTGGTCTCTTTTTTAATTTGTTTATGTGACACGCACTTCCAAGGATCCCCGCCACGGGCAAGGGATGCTTTCATTTTTACTTTCATATAAGATGTTTGGCGTTTACATGGATAGTTGGAAAAAATTTAAAGATCGATTCCTTCTAGTTACTCCTCAAACTCTAGAGGCCTGCTCACTACTCTACAGGGTTCTCGAGGGAGAGCCTATTTCAAACAGCATGATGGTTACATAACCGTCCTCACTAATAGCAGATCATGATGGTTTGATATTCCATTGACTAAATCTTATTTATAAAAGGATAATATGGGTATTTTCTTCATCCAAGATTTCATTTCATGACTGCTAGATGGATCAATTATTTGTCCTAACTTTCTCTTTAAGGTATGACCTACCACCTGCTCGAAGACTGATGGCCCATCGATGATGACATGAATGATACAAGTGACTCCACTTTATCGATTGTACTCATCCTAAAGTGTTGATAAGAAAACTTTCCTGATATTGGGAATGGAAATTAGACCCAAGCCAAGTGGGTACCAGCAAAAATATCGTTTACGATAGGTAAAAACCCGCAAAATAGATATGGGTATGAGCACGAGTATGAACATGGATACATATACCTTAGTACCTACCCGCCTCATACCCACACAATATATTTTTATATGTTTTAATTTATATTATTATATGAAAATATATGTATATAACTTTGTAAAAATACATCACTATCAAACTATTACGCGTTTTAATACAAGCGTTCGTTTATTTCATAATTTAACGATAATTTTTTATTTTACTTTTTTTAAATATTATTAAAAAATTAAAAATAATATGATATTTTTTAATTGATCAATTTATTTTTATTAGAACTGGAGGTAACATGTACATGTATGAGTACTTAGGTACCTATAAGGTATGAATATGAGTACAAACATTGATACCCACACAAGTATGAGCTAGCGTACGCGAATTTTTCAAACTGTGTGTATGAGGATGACTATTATAATACCCTAACCAAGCCTTAACCATTGCAGTCTCTACTTGAGACGTGTAAATTTTCTTGAGGGTGTTTGTAATAGTGAGAAGGTCATCCAATCGGTTGAGAGTTTCAGCAAACTTGATGGGCTCACTTGACAATTCCTCTAGCATTTTCTCGGTCGCTTCAATGAAGATGTTATTGACCTCATTTTCTCTTAATTAAGTTCTGAAGTTTGGGGACCACACACAGGTTTTCAAGTCTTGACGATGTGAAACTCCCAGGATACAATTGTGTAGGCGTTTGAGAGCGAACAACTATTCAAGTGGTTTGTCGTGTCGCGTTTCATCCCCTAAGTTCAAACCAATTGCCTATCGTAGTTGTTTTGCTTTCAGATAGCCTATGTTTTTCTTTAAACATTCACTGAGAACTCTTTGAGAAAGTCATTAGTTTTTTTGGGAGAAGATTTTTCAGCTTGCGTGTGACTAGAGTTCATCATTAGATCAGAGGTAAAGCAAAAACATTTGCAGACGTTTTCCATAAATAATGTCGAATAATTTATATATAATTTTATCTTCGAGTAGTGATGATGTCGACGAGACGATGACGAACTCCAATATAACACTTATTTGCGTATGAGCTTTGATAGTAGACGATATATCTAGAAACACTATAACAATCAAGTTAGGAGGTTTATAATTTAGAATAATATGTACTTGAACTCATTCATTAAACTTTATAATATAAATCAAGGGTTTAAAGGCCTTAAAACTTTGTTTGAGACATTTATCCTTGAAAGGACAAATATGTAAATTTTGTGATCTGAGGAGTAACCAGAAAGGTAACAAGAAAAAAAAGAGAAAAAGTAAGAATTTGAAGTTTATAGAGATGATTGAGTTCTTCTGATTTTGTATCGACGGTGAATGACATGGTTCGTCCGTCGGTAAAAGTCGGTTCCGCCAAATTGGTTGTGATCTGCGTTGCTCTTCTAGGTTTTGCTCTCATTGCCGATTTTCTCTGGGCTTCTTCTTCCCCTTCTTCTTATTTCTCTCTTTCCAATTCCAAAGCCTCCACCACCATTATTGTCCCCAAAGAGAAGAAGAAGAAGAAAGATGGTAGTTCTGTTAGATTGCTTGCAGATGCTTATGCAGATTTGCCCGGTCCTCAACTCACATGGCAAAATATGGCTACTTCACCTGTTCCTCGTCTTGATGGCGCTGCTATTCAGATTCAAAATCGTCTCTTTGTCTTTGCTGGATATGGCACCATTGATCTTGTAAGTGCTTTTATACGACCTATTTCAATAGTCAAACATTCAATTTTGGTTTAATTGTTTTCATATAACTTATATGCTGTTTTCTTAAGCTATTCTTCACAGCTAGTTATAAGCTGTTTTCTTAAGCTATTCTTGACAGCTTTTTGAAATAAGGTGAAAACAGTTTATGATCATTTCAAAAACTATTTTTGTAAGCCCTGTCAAATTCTTATGCTAGTAGATAGGCCTGGATTAGTTGTTCATAAGCAAATCCAAATGTTGCCTAAGTATTTATTGTATATATCAGATTTTATGTATAAGCTGTTTCTAACAAGCTTATTTAAGCATGTATTAAATACATGTTTATTGTATAAGAGCTTTTATGTATAAGCTGTTTCTGACTAGCTTTTATTGTATAAGAGCTAAACTGCTTCTAAAGTCGAGCTTTTATAGTTTTGTCGTATAAGAGCTAAACTGTTTCTAAAGTCGAGCTTTTATAGTTTTGTCGTATAATAGCTAAACTGTTTCTAAAGTCGAGCTTTTATAGTTTTGTCGTATAATAGCTTTTATTGTATAATAGCTTTAATGTATAGTAAGTTGTTTTTAGCACTGAAGAGGAAATGAGAGTTAACTTTGAGTAAAGATGAAAATAGTTTAGGAAAATAAGCTGCATGGAGTATAGAGATATTATGAACTTTTTCTGTAAGTTCTTCGAGCGTGTCTGAGTATATTTTGTTATATTCTATTGTGTTTTGCAGGTGCATTCTCATGTTGATATATATAATTTTGAAGATGGAACTTGGGGAGGAAGGTTTGACATGCCAAAAGAAATGGCACATTCGCATTTAGGAATGGTGACGGATGGAAGATACATTTATATAGTTACTGGGCAGTACGGCCCACAATGTAGAGGTCCCACCGCTCGTAACTTTGTGCTTGACACTGAGACAAAGCAATGGAACGATCTTCCTCCTTTGCCGGTCCCTAGGTATGTATATATGAATGTATGTACTTACTCTCTCCAATTACCACACCATATATGTTTGTTTATTTATTTATTTCTGATATTTCATTGCAATTGTCATGCTTCAAATTGTTGCCTTATGTTGCTTTAGGAAGTGGTAAAGACTCATTCTATCAACCACTTGCATATTTTAGTTATTGAGAAAGAAATTACTAATGCTGGATCTTGATCTCCCTTGAATATCATGATAGGGAAGTTGGATATGCAGAGGTGTCTGGAAAGTCCATCTCATATCTGTTCGTCATAGTAATCTATAACTAATTGAATTGGGAAGTTGAAGTTTCAAAGATGTAATAAGAATATAGGCAAAAACACAAGAAAAGGCAGAGAAGTGGGATTAGGCATATAAAATTAAATTCATAAGAACATTTATATTGATAAATAAATTTATCATGCAAGATAACATTTATATTGTTACTACTCTTGAAACTGAATAGGATAAGCTTAAAAATGTCATTCTTTCCAGTTTCAGTCAGGTTTCGCTAGTTTGACTTCGGGTGGATGTAGAGGGAGTCCTGGAAAAACATTTAAGGTGCAGTTTGATCCATTTAGTCCACCTCACTTAGTAGCCAAAGGCTTTTGTTGTTGTTTCTGTCCACTTGTCTGACTTATTTTTTCGCTACAAAGCAAATCATCATTTTGGATGATCTGTCTTTAGATGTGATTTGCTGGGATATCTCAGTGTTTGTTTGATTCACGTACGTGACTCTATCTAGTGGAAAAAGGCTTATTTTTCTTGTTGCTTACTTGTCTGATTCCATGTACGTAACATTTCTTGTATCGGATTTTGTGTGGAAGATTTTGATGATATTGTTCTCAATTTTAGATATGCACCAGCAACTCAACTTTGGAGAGGTAGATTGCATGTGATGGGTGGCAGTAAAGAGAATCGACATACACCTGGATTAGAACATTGGAGTCTTGCGGTCAAGAATGGAAAAGCATTAGAAAAGGAGTGGAGAAGGGAAATACCCATTCCTCGTGGAGGACCTCACAGGTTACACAATTCATTTAATTGATATGATGAGTACTGCTGTAATGCTATACCTATAGAAATAACATATTAGTAGTGATATTTTGCTTTACCTTTTTTTGCATTATATATAAATAATGGTTTTTTCGTTGTATTTACTTGTATTATTATTGTCTTTCATTATGTTCTCTTATCCTTTATGATTCATCTAAATTGTGTGCTGCAAACTTTAGTAAATTGTGTAGCACTGAGGAATGGAGCTTGATAATGTTTTTCAAGAGATTAGGGTATAAAATTTCGATATATTAGAAACCACAGACATGATGTTTGAGTCCAACACATTCCAATCTAGATTTACTTATATTCGTTTTCTTATGTGAATGCCGCAACACGTAAGTTACCTGCAATTTGTTACTGATAAATATCATATTTTAGGGCTTGTGTTGTGGCCAATGATCGTCTCTATGTTATTGGTGGCCAAGAAGGCGATTTTATGGCCAAACCTGGGTCACCTATTTTTAAGTGCTCACGCAGGATGGAGGTAAGTTGCAAATATAACTGTTATGGTTCTTGTCTTATTTAGTACTATTGTGATAAACCCAACCTTCTTCTACGATTCTGTTCCGTAGTTTGGCAATCCCTGTGTCTCATTGTTTATTGTCATATCAGGTGGTCTTTAGCGATGTTTACATGTTGGATGACGAGATGAAGTGGAAAGAGCTACCTCCAATGCCAAAACCAAATTCACATATTGAATTTGCATGGGTGCTTGTAAACAATTCAATTGTTATTCTAGGAGGCACAACAGAAAAGCACCCTGAAACCAAGAAAATGGTTTTAAACGGAGAAGTGATCCAGTTTAACTTGAATACTTTGGTATTGACTTCTCTTATAAAGCTCTTAGGAGGTTTATTTTTGTTTCTGCAAATTTGTTCATAATCAATCACTTATGGCAACTTACATTCTTATATTCTTCATACTATGTTACTAGTGTATCTAATAGTTTGTTTTCAATGTTATCAATTTTGCAGAAGTGGTCAGTGATTGGAAAATTACCATACCGTGTGAAAACGACTTTAGCAGGATTTTGGAATGGATGGTTGTACTTCACTTCAGGACAGAGAGACAAGGGACCCGACGATCCATCACCAAAAAAGGTCATTGGAGAGATGTGGAGAACAAAATTAAAATTGAATGAGTGAGCAATTGCTGTGGAATCTTTTTGCAACTTCTTTATTTAACATCCGAAAATTGCAGCAGAGGTGAAGAGGCCAAAATGTTACATACTATTTGTTGCTAGAATGTTCATTATTGTAATTCACCGAGAATGACTGATTCAATTCAACATTAATAGTTGTTGTTACAGACCTTATTATACAAAAGGAAAAGTTACACTCACCTTTTCTGAGGAATGCTTATATGATGGATACTAATAGAATACTAATGAACCATGCCAAAGTTTTTACAATCTTCATATCTCTTTCTAATAAGTAGTTGCGGTTAATACATGTAAATCAATAGATTTTTTCTGTATTTACAATAACAATACTATAACAAGCAGTAAAAGACACTACATAATGGTTATGTGATTGAAAAATACTTTGATGAACTATACTGCTCATAACATACTGGTCTCCTTAAGTAGGTATCTGGGTTGAGTACAGTCACATCTAAATTGTTTGATCAAGATCTGATGGTTGGGATTTCAAACTTGGTATTTTAAACTGAAAGCACAATCATAATCTGGATCTGAATAGAACTCTGGATACATCTGACTGCATGCAGTTGCCCTATACACAATCTGAATCTGTTGATTAATCCTTAGAGTTGAAGCACAAGCTCCACATGAAAGAGCTCCTTATCAAACCCAAGTCCGGAAGGTTCAACAGGCTGAACTAAACCATCTACCATTCCACCAAACACATACAAATATCGACCAGAAGGATCTACGCAGGCACGATGAAACGATCTAGACTTAGGTTCGTATCCATTTGATTTCCAGCGTTTCCACATTCTTGTCAGCACTATCTTTGAACTCGCTCCGGTTGAAGGAATAGAACTAATATCTAATATCCAAAAGTCATTTTTCCTATGTCTTGATGAGTCTTCTCCTCCATAAATTAACAATCTACCTCCTAAAACCATTGTAGCAGTGTGACCAACTCTAGGAAGTGAAACACCATCTGGTATATTTTGTAATTCGTAAAGTACTTGAATCCATCTCATGTAACCTTGACAAGTATCCAATAACCAAACATCATGAAGCACTTCATAACCTAAACCTCTACCACCAAATAGTATTGTTCTATTTCTTGCAACGCAAGTTAACGTGTGTCCTGATCGTGGAGGAGGCGATGGATGGATTGCAATCTCAATCCATGTACCAAAACAATGACTATCTGACAACTCTAAGATCCATGTGTCCCCTAAACGGAGGCCGTTAAGTCCGATTCCTCCATGGATTACCATTCTCTTGCCATCAATACAACAAGCAGCATGAGCTCCCCTAGGAGGTGGAGCAACACTCCCAACATCTAGCATTTTCCATGAAAATGTAATGCTTTTGTTTTCACTGTGTGTAAGTTTTCCAATCCATGTATCATTTTGACGGTTTCCATGATCATTGATGCCTCCAAAGAGAACAAGGAAATCACCCATTTCCACACATGTATGACCAAATCTTCCACTTGGAATGCCTGAATGAACTGTCTTCCATTTCAATATTTTCTGAAAATCATTACCAATGTATGCCACCCACGTGTCATCAAGATGTCGGCCTAAAACAAATCACAAACAAATGTATTATACACAAGCACATAACTACTCGATGTCTATACTTTGCAACCTCAAACATCGGCCATTTGATCAATCTAACTGCTGAAACTATTGCATCTCTTATGTTAGACTAATTCCGTGGTCGAGACTTAGTAGGAATCAAATCCCGAACTCTACATTTTTGTTACTCAAGTGTCACAATTGTACAATTATGGTCCTCGTGTTTCAATTGCGCAAACTAGATCCTCTATAAAGCCAATTGTTACAATCAGGTCTATCCTCTATTAACTAGTCTAATTTCTAAAGCTAGGAGCCTATGTAGCCAATGCGAGTGTTGACTTAGAAATTAGACCTTTCTTTGAGGGAGGAGCTTATTGTAACAATCATGATACCTAAGAGACTCAAGTCGCACAATTGGAACTTGGATCAAAATTGCATAATTGTGATGTTGGAAGACTAAAACTGCAATTAAGTTTTTTAATATAATATTTTTTGTTTAAGTCCTTTCCTTTTAGGGTAAAGAACTTGTCTCTCTTTATCAAAACTAGGTAACATGATATACAAAAAAAGAAGATAAGATTATAATATTTAATCATAATCTAGTCTAAAACCAGAAACATTCACAACACAACATAACAAAGAAAATAGCCCAAAACAAATATGGAAAGAGAAACTAACCTCCATCAGAGCCACCGCCAAACAAAACAAGACAATCAGAAACAAAGTTAAGAGAGTGAGAAGCTCTTGCTTTAGGGAAATCCAAATCTCCATGAGGGTATGACAATTTATGACAACAAACAGAATCAATCTTGTACACTTGTTTGTAAAGTTTCATCCATGAAAATTGACGAACATGGTGATTGGAGTTACAAGACTTGAGTAATGAATCCACGCATGCTGAACCTAAGTCTCTCTTGCATAGAGATTTCCACAGTGTGTCAGATGAAGTTATAGCTTTGAATCTCTTGCAAGTCATGGATAGAGAAAGTATTGCATCTATAGGAAGAAGAATAATGATAGTAAAGATGTAATCTTGAGGTATGTTGGTTATTGGTGATCCACTATAACTATGATTACAATAACTAACACTAGTGGTTTCTTCCATGTCTGGTTTTTTTTTTGTTGTTGTTGAACTTAACTATGGTTTGTTGCAAGAACAAAAGTTTATGTTTTTTTCTGGTTGCTTGTGTTTGGCAGAAGACAGAGAAAAGGGTTTGTTTGAGGTAGATGGTGTGGTAGATTAATAATTGAGAATTGGTAAAAAAAAAACTGGTTTTTGTTAATTTTGTATAGTAATGTGTCATGTTGAAGATAATGGTAAAAAAAAATGGGTGTATAAAGATTGATTTTTGACAGGTTAGTGGGGTGCCCATTTTTTCTTGTCGTTTCTAGGGAATTATTATGAGTCTTGGTTTTTCTTTCAACATGTTTTGGCTTGTGTTTTGTAGCATGTTTATTTTGTTAGGATAAGACAAGAGTTTTCACTTTGATTTCAAAAAAAAAAAAATTGAATGAAAGAAGGAAATTAAAATCTCTGAGACACTGTTAAAACATCATTGTGCATGGATACTATATGTGATATGAAAGCTTTTTTTTTGCCATAGATAGTGAAACTAGATTTTACAGTGTGGTTTGAAATTTGGGGTTTTCTTGACCAAATTTCCATCAATTTAAGAGGTGGAATAGATTCTACCTACACGTTAAGAAGGTCATGTTCATGCTTTTTATTTAGGTTGCCACCTATAATTTGTAGAGTTTGGATTGACCAATGATAATCATTGGAAATTTGGAATGGATCAACTACAATATTTTGATGTAAACTAAGTATTCTATGCACGCCAATGCAATATGATTAAGTATTCTATGCACAAGCTAATCTCGAGTCGGAGAAAAATATAATGGACCACAAAATTCTTCGTCCACAGATTTAACAATGATACATTCACGTCTAAATTCAAATTCAATACTCTTAGGTCGGTTCAACTACGGTAGCATCTTTGGATCTGAACAATAAAGGCAGAACGTGCTTATTGTGAGATAAAGAAGGTTTTCCTATGACAATGGACCCTAAGTAATGGCATGTGTGAATCACTTTGTCTTTGGGAAGTTTAAATTATGACAATAGACAGAAAGTAAGTGCATCCGTGAACTAGCTTATCTTGAAAAAAGTTTTAGAAAACATGTGAAAAGAAAGTTTTTTATTTTATTTTTTAAATTTAGAATATTTGGAAAACTATAGTGCATTAATTGTCTAGAAGCATTTTAATTTAAAGAAAATTTAAGCCAAATATAGCTTAACCCATTTTTATTATCTGAAAATGATTGATTTAATTAAACAACAACTAAAGAAAACATACATCTTATTTCTTCTGAGTTCTGATATATTATTTCTAGTTTGAGCCATAAATGGATTTGGTGCATTCAACAGCCACTACAGTCAATGATCTCGCCATCGAAGATCAGATGGTTAATTTCAAATTTCTGATTTGCTGAAATCACAATGCACATTATTCTAACGGTTTAGAACGGCAGACTGTAGTGACTGCTGAAATTATTGACAGCAGCGAATCCAGGTATGTCTCATGGCCTACCAGCTTAAATAAAATATCCTTGCAGTTGCACATATGATACAGTTTCTGGTGCATGTCAGCCACCTTAGCAAAAAGTGTAAATTAATGTGTCCAAAAAAGTCAAAGATTAGAAGCTCGCAGGGTTCGCAATCTTCAATCTTTGTCTACTCCTGTCAAAGGAAGACGATAACATTACGCGCACACAATTTATTTCTGCAAATCAACACCTTATTTATGCAGATTGCACACTTTTCCTATGTGTATTAATTTCTGAAGAGCAGCTTTAGCTTCTTCTAATGTTTCAACACTCTGTCCTTCATCAAAAGATATCCTCTGAATGTTGAACTGCATACAAGACAATGAACAATTCTAAGAAAAACAGCAGCTGCAGAAATCAGATAGGCAAACTAACAGTTGTAATAAAGGCTTACCTGGGCACCTTGACGAACCCTAATATCAGTCCCTTTGCTGTCGATAGATATGAGTGCTGCATCATCTACCTCAATCTCATTAGATAGTAGTTTCTTTAGGGGCTTTGAGAAAATGGCATTGAGCTCCTATTGTTTCAAAAATAAAACCAAACAATGAAGTGTTATAACTCAGAGAGATATAGGCCCTGTTTGAATAAACAATATATATTTTTTATTCATGTTTGAATAAACAACTTTTCTCAGAGCCACTAACGCTCGGATTCTTTTACACAACAAAAGGTTTTAGATAATCGTATCAACAAGTATCTAAATGATGCAATATCAGTGCAAAACATTTGACTCTGACATCAACATAAGTTTGGTTTGAGGGTTATTTTCTGGGAGGGGAGAATAACTAATAAGGGTTAGGTTAGGACTTGGGAAAACATAATTATTTATCTAGTAAACATATATAAACAACCCGAGTGAAGTGCGTGAATATCCATTTAATTATGCCTCCGTCACCACTCTCCAGCAACTATGCTTAAGAAGCTATAACCTCCCTTCCAGAAACAAAACCCATAATGTTCTTCTAAATGGAGTAAGAAAGAAATAATTTTAGTTACAATTAGAAAATTTACCTTCAGATACTGCTCTCCACCATCAACTGCAATCTTATCAGGTTGAAGGGTTTCATATTCCTTTACATCCACCCAAGCAACAGTACCAAAGCCTCCAATGAAATATATGTCACTGCCAAAGACAAAAAAGTTATTGAATTAGGTATGCTTAGAAATGCAAGTTTCCGAACCGAACAGAAAGTAGAATTTGTTTTCCCAATTTGTATTCCCTCTGTCTCAAGTATAAACAAAAGTCAAAATGTAATAGGTCCAAATTTTAAACCAAATACATTTACTTATATATTCAAGACTGGAGAGACTATATAACATTTTATGGGAAGCTTCAACGGAAAACAAAACGTTCTACACAAACCTTGATGCTTCAAACAAACCCCAAAAATATGATTGTTTTGTGACTAACTGAAAAAACTGTTTCTTTTGCCAAACTCTACCATAATGGGCCCTTTATTGTCAAATGTAAACCAAGGCAAAGTAAAATGCCCCAAAAAGAGTTTGCAGCAAGATGTTTTGTTCAACACAGCATAGATGGAAAGGTAAGTAGTCAACCTTATATTCTGCATCCTAAAATAGTAGAAGTTGCCCCACTGTTGAGAAGGACCCTGAAGGTGCTTTGCAATGTACTGCTTATGTGCCCATTCCTGTTGGTACAAATTTGATATTATGATATATGTGCAAATAAACCTCAATAAAAATATAAAGCGCACGTTTTCTGACCCACAAGAATAAATTAATTGGTAAATAACCTGTTGATCTTCTGGAAGCGGATAAACATCGCCAAAAATAGTTACTCTTGCATTGGACAAACCACTCCATCCAGGTATCTAATAAACATAACTGTCAATAAAACTCAGATGGAGAAAAACAAGAAGCACAATATAAAAGCTCATGTAGGAAATATCAAATATAAAACCTGAACAACAAGTGTGCATCTTGGGTCAGCTAACAAATTCCTTGTGTGAATTGCAAGAGGAGAAAATGAGAATATTGGATCTGCAAATCAACAATACAAGACATGCTTTTTTAGATAAATACTATGAAGAAACAAGTAAACTATAATGGTTCAACAACCGATCCATAACCTGCCAAATTATGTAGTGATCATCATGAAACAAATTTCAGAAGTGAATCAAACTATCTAGCTTATGTAATGGGGAGGAAAAAGTGGCACCACCAACCCGGCACATCCAGGGGCACTTTTAATGCAAGAATCTTGAGGTGGGCTGTCAATTTTCAGCTATTCTTTATTTGTATATATTTATGATGTATCATTAATTGTCATTTGGATTGGAATTATCAATAAGCCATGTCCATACTCCAAATAAAGCAAAAACACGATGAAACACAAGATCCCCACACACTACTCCCATATAATCATAGCAGTTAGCACATGTTTATGGTAGAAATAAGATAGGTTGATGGGTATAGTGGGATGCATATGTGTGAATGAAGAGGTAGGAGAGGAACTGGAAAAGTAAAGTACCCGCTGAAGAGAAGATGCTATGAGAAAAGTTTGTTAGAAAAGAATGGGAAATTGGAAGGCTGTAACAACATGGATGGCTATCACGTGTTGCGTGAAGTTACCAGAAAGGGTGATGATAAAAATCAATATTTTAAAAACCGAACCTGAACATCTGAAACTGATCAGATGTTCAATTCATTTAACCCAAAAAACCAGTAGAATTGGTGCAAAACCAGTGATGAAAAATTGGTTTGAACCGTCCAAGACAATTTATAAAGGCCCATACATATGAATTTTCATAATTGATTTTTCTTTATCACAACATTCATATAGCATGACCATTTTGTGCTAATATGTTACTTGTACATAATATTATACATATGTACTATTCATCACACCTTTGACCATAGTTGAACTCTTCCACCGTAAGTTCAAATGTGAACCAGTGCCTTCATCGGTTCAATGACTGGTTCGGTTTTTATAATATTGGCAAAAATAAAGGGGAAGGAAGAGAGAAAGAGATAGGGGATGAGAGGCTTGTGCAGGCTGGAGCATTTTGCTTGGATGCAAAATCTCCAGTGTATGCTGTTTTCTTTGGCATTTTTGTTTAAGCAAAGGGTTCTACTAGTAAGTTGTTCTACTAGTAAAGTAAGTCCGTCTACTTTCTATCCAAATCTCCAGCTCTTATCATATTCTAACTCTTTCCTGAGCAAGAACCAAACCTGGATTGGAATCATCTCTAATCACGCCCAATTTACAACTATTTAAGTATCTTTATTTCATTAACTTGGTAACCAAATATTAGGATTGCGAGAACAAGTTATCAAGAATGTTACATATCTAGGATTGCGAAAACCTGTTATCAAAATTGTTACATATCTTGAACGTTGGACCAGTGGCCTATAACTCCCAACTTAATCTCCTTTTAACTTTATTCAAACTAAGGATATACAACCAAAAACTAAATCCATAATGCATAAAATATTCATAAGTGAATAGCAAAATCCAATCAAGATAATGAAGATTATCAACTTACGGCCCATCGAATCCGGTGCAAAATCAACCAAAGAACCAAATGGATATCCTTCTCGTCGGTGGTGCATTCGAGACATTACAGTGCAAAGATGAGCAAATCTGGCCTTGAATTATTCAAGGAAAAAACATTTGAAAATCAATAAAGGTAATCCATGAACGAAATCAATGCTAGGTTCATTTCTACAGCGGAATATATACAATAATCACCACTTTACCTGTTCCATCAAATTGCGAACAGCTAAAGCAGGTCTAGGCAAACCATGGGCCGAGGTTGCACTCTGGACACCACCAGAAATCGGAGTTCTGAAAAGTCCAGCCCGTGTACCCCCACCAGACCCACTTCCTCCCGGAGTCGTAACAGTTGACCATGACATGCCCGTTTGTATTGGCTCATGTACATCATCATTATCATCATCATCATCATCAGTACTCTGAGAATGGGTTAGATTTTCCTTCAGAAGAATAAAAATCAACCCAAGTAAGTTACTCAAATGTCAAAGATAAGCATTATAATGAATCATCTATAAAAACAAGCCAATCAACGACCCCATTATAATGAATCATTGAATTTTACAATAACTGTGTAATTAAATATACATGTGTACTTAGTTCGATGGCAGCAAAAATTGATTTTGGTAATTAATTTGAATGAGAAATGATTTATGCATAGGTACATTCACATAAAGTGAGTTGAATAGTAAATTTGAGGCTTAGAATCACGGTTGTATACAAAAGATAGGGTTTGCCTGGTTATATTCATTCACATAAAAGTTAGTTAACAACACATTTTAGGCTAAAAATCAACTCTGAAATTCCAGCATCAAAATCACTCATACATATCAAAATCAATTCATGCATCTATAATAATTTTTTCCTCCTCCAACAGTGAAACAAACATACATACACTTATGACAGCTTCAAATTAGAATTCCTTATGGTTAAACATCAACAACCAAGCCTTATCCCACTAAAAGTGGGGTCGGCTACATGAATCAAATTTTGTCATAATGTTATATCCATGATCATGCTTCTATCCAAATCGTTAATCTTGAGATCTTTCTTAATAACTTCTCTTATAGTCTTTCCAGGTCTTCGTCTTCCTCTAGTGGTTTGACATTTCTCCATCTAATTTACTCTCCTTATCACAGAACTTACAAAATTGCAGGTCTTCTCTCAACATGCCCAAACCACCTAAGTCTATGTTTGGTTCCATGGCCCGTAATCACATCTGGTTAGGTTAAACATGGTTTGACTACTGATTAGTTATGTTTGGCTTCCCGTCTTAAAATTGATAGCAGCCCTAAACTCAATTCTACCCAGAGCTTAGATTTCTAGCTTTTGCAATGACATAAAATCAATTCTCGAAATTTTTAAAGTGATAATAGATACATTTACACTCAAAAATCAAAATCACTTTTGATCCAAACTATTCAAACATGAATTGATAAAAAACACTTATTAAAAATCATAACCTAAAATTAATCACTTTATATTCAAAGCACTTTTTTAACAAAATCAAATTAGTTCAAAATGAACATAATGTGAAAATCAATTTTATATGACTGAAATCATAAAAACAGAATCAAAACATTCAGAAATTGAATCAAAACACGAGTTATTAAGCAAAGTAGAACAATTAATTGAGATACATAGGAATAACAACAGAGAGAAAGAGAGAAGGTACCTGAGGGTGAGAAGGTAAAGCGGAGGCATTGAGTTCATCACCTTCTTGGCCGGGAAGTTGAGCAGAGAGAGCAGAGAGACGAAGAGGAGACGCAACCAGTGAGTGTGAGTGTGAGTGTGAGTGTGAGGGTTGGGTGATTTTGAGGAAGGAAGATCGAGTTGTTACTCCGGCGGCGGCGATGGAAGAAGGAGTGTGGTGGTGGTGGAGGAGTGAATGAGTGTCGGAGATCGAATGAAACGACATCGCTTCCATTGAATTGGGTTATGATTCGACGATGAAAAAAGAGCGGCGAGGTTTTGAAGCTAAACCCCGTTAGCGTATTGAAAGAAAGAATATATACACTTTGTGTGTTGAGTGATAGGGATGAGACTTAGGCTGTGACTCAGATATACGGCATTCAATCAGATATGTTATTATCTATTACTTTAGATGCACTGGAAAACACAATAATAATCTCTCTTTGTCCTCTATTTTATCAATTCAGGGGTATATTGTGTCTAAAAATTATTTTCCAATTAAATTGTACTTTTAGTTATATGATAAATATATTTACTATGAATTGTGTACAAATATGAAACCGGTTGGATATTATAATTTCAACATAAGTACTATTATAATTTCAAAATATATTATTTGATTAACATATGACACAATTTTTCAACACTCACTTTTTCTGAACAAACCTCGGTTCTCTCTCATCTCAACCTTCACATGCAAATCTCACTTTTCTCTCATCTCAAATTGAGGAAGTTATGCATTGGTGAAGTTGACCTTTTTTGCAAAATTGTCAAAAGTCAATTATGCCTAAAATTGCAATTTTTGCCAAATGGGCCTAATCTTTTGCACTTGTTTTGAGTTGGCAACATGGTACACGAGTCTTAGCCCTTTACACTTGTCATTATCTCGTTTTTATTATTTATTTTGATTTTTATTTGAATTAAATCAATTTTAATCAAAACAAATCATGGAAAAATCCAAAACATTGAAATCTCAAGATATGGTGCTTGTTTCAGGTCCTATATCCAGTTGGCAAGTGATTGAATTCGTGCAAGGGCTTTGTGTGCACAAAAAGATTGAGTTTTCTCTATTTTTAGCAAGATTTTCAAGTGAATCAAATCCAAATCAAAAGCAATGATGGAGGAAGATTGAGATCAGCTTTTCAACCCTAATCCAATCCTTGATATATATTGAACATGTGCAGACCTAAAACAAGGCTAGAAAGAGGCGCAAGAACCAGAACCAAACTTTAAAAAAACACAAAAAAGTGCAGACACGAATTCATAGTTGAGGCAACTACAATACTCTTTGACCATCCCAATCACTTCCTGGGAGTGTAAGCAAGCGAAACCAATCAAGAACAAGGAGTTTCCAACCCTGTAAGTCGCTGTAAGTCAGTCACGACATTGCCTTTTTCTTGAATTTGAATTGCATCATTCTGACACTTATAGCATAAAATAACTATATATTATTGTTCCTTAACACAGTTGCAAGCTATCCATACCATCCAATTGCATTTTTGTGGACTGAATCAAGAATTTCTATTGTTAGGGTTTGTGGTTTCGTTTTAGGGTTTTTATGTGATGGAAAAATTAGCCCCCATGAAGGGTATCATGATGTCCAACAGGTCTAGACGAATTGATTCATGGCATTAGATGTCATTTATCATGCCCATGGAAGATTTTGGAACGAGTCAAGGTTATAGCTACGGATGTTGTCCGTAGGTAAAAGTGTTTCACTTTTAGCAACGGAGCAAGGACAGGGATGACCAGCGTGTCATCATCCTGTTGGCCCATTCAAAATTATGGCACGCGTTTTTATTATTCTCCACTAACTCCCTTTTTTGCATATTATCTATTATTATTATTTTATATACAAATGAAACAGCTAGCTCAGTTGGTTGCCAAGCGTTGGGAAATGCCTTGGGATCTGGGTTCGAATCCCAGGTTCCTTCATTCTTGCATATTATTTTTCTTTTCAGGTACAAGCGCGCGTACAAGGGCAAGGGATCACCATATGTCCTCAAGATCTAACCCTTGGATCTCCAGATGACCAAATCTGATGGCCATCATTTGAAGGACCATGATACGCCTAGTCAAACCCATGGCATCAGATTCAAAGAGTCAAAGTGGACCAACCTGTTTGGGCCCAGAATCTGATTCTCACACCCCCCAAATCACTCTCACAACCAGGCCCAAATTCTCTTTATCTTTTTATTTTTGTTTTATTTAATTTATTTATTTATTTTACTAACATAATTAATTTTCTTTTTATCAAAAAAATCACAAAAATATTTTCATCCAATTAAATTTAGGATATTTATTTTTTATACAAAAAATTAATCAATTTAATTAGGTTGTTAATTTTAGATAACTTTAATTGTTTTGTAAATAGATTAAAATTAATTAGAATAATTAGGGTTTTGGTTTCTAACTTAGTTATATTTTCTTTTTCTTAAAATAATAAAAAACAAAAATAGGCCATTTAATTATTTTCTTTAATTAATTTAATTTACTAATTAATTATGTATTTAATTTTAAAACCTAATTCTTTTCTTAAAAATAATTTTTAAAAAAAAACAAAAATATTTTTCTTTCAATTAGGTTCGAAAGGGTCAAAACTCTAGTTCTCTCCCGATCTTAATTTCCTCGCGCGCGCTTTATTATTTATTTTTCCCTATTAATGTAATTGCCCATGAGTTGTAATAGCTTAATTAGGACTTTTACTTTTCATTTATTGTCTTTTTTCAAGGGTTTGTTCTTGGCTATGTAAAGCCTTGTAATAGCGTAGTTTACTTTCCGCACTTTAATTTCCGCAAAATATTAACTGTTAGATGTATGGATAATTAGGGTTGCATGACAAGAATGTATGATAAATTTCAAAACAGTTAGCTAACCCTAAATGTGCAAAGATAATAATCTGAAACTAAATCACTCGCACATGTGCACTCCTAGGGTACACTCCCACTTAGGTTGCCTTCGGTAAATGGTCATTAAGTATAGGATGCTTTAGTGGTCGCTCTCTTGTCTAAACAAAGATCAAAGTCCCATTCGGAAAGTTGCCTCAGAATGGTTTCCTCAGAATTGTTGCCTCGAATAATTGGTCTAAGACATTAGGGTTACTACTAAGACGTCTTAACATTGCTTTAGTGACCGTACGTCCCTTTTTGAGTTGACCCTCAAAACTCCAACAACGATGCTACCTACTCACTAATAGTGGGATAACACTGTCTAAAGGAAACGAACATAGAACAATTCTCTTTTTTTCGAGTAGGTAGATTAGTTCTTAAGTACTTGCTCAATCCAAACGAACTTTTTCACACTTACACTCTTTTAAACAAAGCTTTCAAAAACACTTCGTAACACTCTTGAAGACAGAAGCAAGAGTTAAATCGAAGTCAAAAACTTTTCAAATCACACAAACACACAGAAGCAATTTTGAAAATGATGAGCAATTACCTAAGAGCCCGTGGAAAACCACTGATATAAAGGGTGCTAATACTTTCCCTTTCTATAATCTACCCCCCGTACTCAAAATCTCGAAAAAGGGAATTTTACTGTGCTTTTTTCCTTTCTTGTTGGATAAAATAAAAGTCAGTGGCGACTCTTGCTTACCACGACATTTTGCAAACACAAACGCAAAACGTAAACCAACAATTCCTAAAAATAGTCCCGGTTCTGGCCACCGTATCACAGGAAGTCCTCTTTTATCGGTAGGAGATGAACCATAATATCAGTGTCAAGTCCCGACATGTCTTCGTATGACCAGGCAAAGATCTCAACGTAATCATGTAACATCTGAATTAGACGCTTTTTGACACTATGCTCCAGATCGGCACCTATCTTGACTTCTTTCTTATCCTTTTCAGTACCCAAGTTCACTGTCTCAACCGGCTCTTCATGAGGCTGCATTGCCCTTTCTTCCTGTTGTAATAGTCTGGCCAGTTCTCCTGGTACTTCACAATCTTCCTCACCTTCATCCTCGGCTTGGTAGATCGTATTTTCAAAGTCATAATTGGTAATACCAGAACCGTTATCAATGGGATCCATAGTGGATGTGGATCTTCAGTTTTGATATGTGGGTGTGTGTAAGAGAGCATAACTATTTTGATAAAGTAAAAAGTAGAAAAGAAAGACAGAGAGTGTAAAATTTGCATGCAAAACGTCCAATGATTTATTAATGACATATGAAGATGAAGTAATAACCCTCACAAATATACCATTGTGTCTCAGGTAAGACACAAGGTTTTAGAGTTTCAATTGTTCAAATATTACATATCCCGGAAAAAAACTAAAAGCCAATTACTCTTGAATAAAAGTAATAGGAACAAAATCTTTGGCCTCCCAATTGTTGAGTCCACTGTTGATAGTTGGGAAGATCCACTTGTCCATGTCATAGTCGCTATCATTGTCCTCCAATGCATTGACTCCATGGTTGTTGATGTGTAGTGGTGGTCCCCGGTACAAGCACGACGGACAGCTCTTTGGGCCCCTGAAGTAAAACCCAAACTAAACTTGTCATATTTGTAGGAAATATCCGGAAGTTGGCCCCAAATGGTACACCCACCTTCTTCAACTACTGCTTTGGAATCCCTCAGAGAAGCCATCTTCAACAGAGGTCTGGTAGTCTTTGGAACACTAGTAGCAGTCTTGGTTGTAGCAACTATCTGTAGAACCTCCTCAAAGTTTTGAAAGGGGGTCTCAATGAACTCGTCGTTCATCTCCATATACCTGAAAGAGTTCAGGTGGCTAACCATGTATTCTTCCTCGCCATGGACCGTAATAATCTTTCTGTTGACTGGATACTTCAACATCTGATGTAGAGTAGAAGTAACAGCATCGGCCCCATGGATCCAAGGTCGACCTAATAAACATGAGTAAGATGGGTGGATGTCCATCACATAGAAAGTGGAGTCAAAAGTCTGAGTACCAACTTTAATAGGGATGTCCACCTCCCCGTGTACCATTCTCTTAGAACCATCGAAAGCCCTCACCACAATATTATTGGGCTTCAGTGTGATTCCTTCATAATCTAACCTGTCCAGAGCATTCTTGGGTAAGACATTCAACGATGAACCTGTATCCACCAGAACATGAGCTAGGGTAGTGCCCCTGCATTCAATGGAGACATGCATGGCATCATTATGCTTTCTTCCCTTGGATGTCAAATCTGCATCAGAGAAACCCAGTCCATTGTCAGCTATCAAACTAGCAACATAATTCTCAAATTGATCGGCGGAGGTCTCTTGAGGCACA